GAATTCAGGTAACTGGTGAATATAACCTTTGCTTTGTGTTCTGGGCTATTCCTTCTGTGCTGGACTTCTCAAGCCTACAGCTGGGATAAAATAAATGTAAGATGCAGCAAGATGCAGCCCACCAGGCCATTCTATCTGGCCTGCAGGCCCCCTAAAACATTTGGAAAATTAATATTTATCTGCCCCTGGCTGCCTGTCACATGGCCCTCAATGGCTTGCCAAAACTCAGTAAGCGGTCCTCCACCCAAAATGATTGCCCAAGTGTGATATACTCTCTGAACCCTGCGTAGCTTATTTATAACACACAGCCCTACAGTATCCAAAAGATCACACAGACACAGCAAGAGCACACCATACATATAATGTGTGTATGTTGCCAGTGGTGCAGCCTTGGCCTTCAACATTTTAAGCATAGTTGACTAGTAATAAGTTTATCAGAGTAGCTGTTTGAACACATTTTCTGAGCATTGGCTCTTCTAGAGAGATCTGCCATTTTTATTCTTTCCTCAAAATAATCTCAGTGTAAATATTATGCCTGACTTTGCTTCTTCCTAGGTGTTTTACTGTAGGATGCTCAGTAGTTAGGAAGGGAAGAATTTTTAGAATAAAAAAGCAAGAATACATGCAGTCTCAGACACATTTGAAGGCCAAATGTTCCTTGAGTTTGGGACTAATCTGCTTTGCAGGTTCATTCTCTCCATGCTTAATCACAATCTACCCATATATTATAGTTTAAGATCCAGCCAGATACAATATATTATTAAAGCACCAGGACAAGCCATCCACTCTCTCATCTAACTCCCCTCTAGTGAAAACAGACTCCAGTGTGTAAGGGCCCCTTGGCAAGGATCAAGGACCCAAGGCTCTTATCTCTTGTCTGTCCCAGAAAGATTCACCTGTGGGAATCCAGGAAAAGGACAGAATAACATCTAGACATTAACTAGGATTGACAGCCTGTGGGAACTGCTACCAAGAGCTTTAGTTCAACTACTGAAGAGTTTATTAGAGTTTTTAGTCCTTATTGGCAAGGCAAATGTCTAACTCAATAATTAGGAATATTCCTACAGAAATGAAATTGTAGAAACACGATTTATTTTTATTTTCTTCTGCTTTTTAATTTTTAACTTCATCTTTGGAGTCCTGGGAATTCTTGAGAATATATTTAGCCAACTCCTTTGTGTGTGTGGTGGAAAAGGGGAAGGGGGGGAGAGGGAAGAGGCTGGAAGACCCCTAAATAGTTGCAAGATAATGGTTTATGATGAATATGTTTGTTCAGGAAAACTTTGGTCAGATCAAATGAAGACAAGACAACTAAAACTTAGACACTTAGATGGACAATGGCCAACTCTGTTTCGGGCCTGATGCTGCCTCTCTTTATACACAATGAAGCATTCTCACTCAGAGCCAAAGCCCCTTTGACTTCAAGGGGTCCTCTCAAGGCATATAATTAGGACTCTTCAGTGCATAGGAAAATGTCAGAGCTTCATACTTTAGTGCATGTAGAGTTTATTGTCCAAAACAAATTTATCTCCATCCACCTCCAAAAACTGGTGACCTGTTTTTTGCCTAGAAAAATGAATTCCCAGAATACACATGCTTAAAATAAACAATAAAGAGTTCACAGCAGTTAAGCTGATCAGTGAAAATGTCCTGGATTTTAGTCAATTTATTAAAAATGTTATTGTAAGCATAGAGTAAACTTCTGTACTTTTGTACGAGAAAACTATGGGACTATCTGGAAAAAGTAGTAAGAAAAAGGATGTGGACTTTGTTAAAAATAAAACTTATCAGATGACAGTTGAATCACGAGAATGTTATCTGGCTCAACAGGAACGTGAAAACAAATAGGCACTTCAAGAAGAGTGGAGTTAGCTAGGTGAACAACCTAAAAATAGCAGGAAGTGACCAAGGAAACATGCCAAGTGGATGGAAACAAAACTGATTTCTCCAATGACAAGTTGCCCAATGACCCACAGAACTGAAATTATCTGTGAATATTATTGATTGTGAATTACCTATGCTTAATGAGATAAATTTTGCACCCATGTTCAGCTATGTAACACAGTAATTCCTCAGTAAGACACAAAACTGAAGAGACTTGCATGACAGAATTTAACATAACCCAGTGTTTATTGACTCCTGCAACATTTTCATTTCATTACATATTTTCCATTAGTTAAACATGAACACAAAATGTGTTGTATTGTAAAACACCACCACGTTTCCATATCAGTCTAACCCAAAGTGCCAGCATTGTTGACCAGCATACAACCTGACAAGAGATTTATCCATAAGCTACTCAGAGAGATTTGCTGGGAGCGTGTCACAGCTGCAATAAAACTAGTTATTTGCCTGCAAATAGGTACATTCCTCTCAACAAGTGGTGTTGAAGCCAGCTACTTTGGGAGAAAAAAACCCCCAGTTTTATTTCAACAGGAATGAATTAAAATAGTTTACAGAGATGGGGGAAAAAGAACAGATCTGATCTTTTTTAACATTACTTTGTAGCAGTCATTTGCTGATAGAGCAAATAATAATAGAAGGAATAAGACATTTTATTAGACTCCACTTTGCTCAGAAGGTCAGCAAGTCTGGTTACAGGTTTAAGAATACAAATAGTATCTCTGCATCTGCCTTTTCTTTTTACTACTTCATTAAAAAAAAAGCATTTATTCTTTTTCCTAACTTTTTCCCCCTCACAAATACCACTTGTTGAAAATGGTGGCTCAGTGGGGTTTAAATAAGCTCCACTGCTGTCTAGTGTGAAATGAAGTCACATTCAGAAAGGCAACTATAATTTTTTTGTTTTTAAAGAGCCATGAAAAACTTGCACATTGCATGCATTTGGTGTACATGAGCTCTGTGGATATGAATGATGAAGGCACACACAGTACCTAAATGTGTAAACAAGCTGTCAGTGCCTCAGGAGGACTGAAAAGTAAATACACTGGAGAAATAACAATCTGTTTTTACAATCAGATGGCACATGCTGCTAAGCCATAGCTATTTCAGACACTTTGCCACGGAAATGTGAAACCAAAACTGGAAAGAAACTGCTAGAATTCCTGTTCAGAGAAGCAACTGGTGCATTCTGTTATTGATGTCATTTTTAAAAGTGAACTTCATTCTTGTGTAGCCGTTTGCAAGCAGTCCATCGAGAAGAGGTGGGATGAACACTGGAAGCAACTTCAAGAACAAGGATTCCTGCAAGATGTATGTGGAGGGGAAGGGGAAGGGTGGAAATTCAAGGAGTGGTCTTCCCACTAATCTCAGGCCTGGGGTGAAGTAAAAGGGCAACATTTCATAATCCTATGCAACCAAGTTCTTGATATTTCTTTTCACTTATTAGCAGATGGAAAACCCCATCTCCATCATGTATTAATCAAATCTCATGCTTCTAGGTAGATCAAGAGGACATAGGCTGAAACTGAAAAGTTTGCAAACATACTTCATTTACAATAACTGCAACGCTGTTTCATTGTCCACCACAAGATGCAAGCTGCTAACCACTGCTTGTGCTATATGGTGGTGACAGTGAAAACAAAATGTACCTTTCTTATCCAAATTTGTAAAAAAAAAATAAAATGGAAAAATATTTTCATATTGTTCTAAGCTCTAGATACAATTTGCATTAATGTCACTTTCTAATGAGCTACCTATGGGGCATTTGTTTAAGTTTAGGGTTTCTGAAACTTGTCAGGACTAACTGATTAGTAGGCTTTTGCCCCTCAAATCATTCATTCAAAGGATTTAAAGAATTTTTAACTATAGAACATATTACTGACATTGCATAGGGACACTCAACAAAATTTTAAAATGACTACCACTGCAGCCACCAGTTTGAGAATTCAACCTTATCTATCCATTAATTTCAAAGTGTCACCTACCACTTACAATTAAGAATTCTGACCCACCTAGAGTTAGAATTTAATATTAGAAGTTAATATTAAGTTTCCTTCAGAATCAGTCTGTGCTATTTAGATACAACTATAGTGGAAGAATTTTATTGAACACAAAGGAAATACAGAAGATTGACATGACTTGTTGGGGTTTTTGTCTTATTTGTAACGATGATTTTGAAATCCTCACTTCCCTCCAGATACTATCATTAGGGACCTACTCAAATTACAATTTTGTGGTTTTCACAGAAATCACAAAAATCAGGCAATGTTCATGAAATCTGCAGGGTGGAAAAAAAAAACACAACACCCCCCCCCCCCCCCCCAAAAAAAAAAAAACTACCTGCCCCGAG